TTGACCGTTTTTATGAACAACAGAAATCAAGGCAGTTAGCTTTGAAAATAGCTGCTGAAAACGGCTATTCGGTACCAATGCATCGCATGAGATCGAGTGCTGGCCAACAGCGACACGTACCACGCCAAGAAAAGTTACCTTTGTGCCTCCCTTTCATCTCCGATCGAGTCAGCACTGCAATACATCACAGTATTGTAAGAGCTCAGCTGCAAGATGATGTTATATTAGTTAACGTGCCTAATAGCAATATCAAACGGCAGCTCGTCCGAAACAGACTGTATGACAGGCAGTGCGTGACTTCAGACTGTATCATCTGCCCAAATGGCACGTCAGGGGATTGTGGTAAGGTTGGGGTGATTTACCAACTTGAATGTATGGTATGTTATAGCACGTATATTGGAGAAACTGGGAGAGCACTAGGTATCCGTATTCAAGAGCATCTAGCTGGGAAGAGGCGTGGTAATGTAGCTACACCACTTGGCAAGCACAAGATTGAGGAGCACAATGGGAACGACTTTGATGTTAAATGTTCTGTGTTAGCGTTCGAGACTGAGATTTCATCCAGAAAAGCATTGGAATCATTCTGGATTTTCGCAAGGAAACCTAGAATGAATGGCCGAAACGAATGTCCGTCGATTACGAATGAGCTCTTGCCTTTTGTCTCAAAGTGCGAGCTATCAATGCGACGTGCAAATTGACAGATTTCGAAATATATGGCACCACGAGACGAGTAGAGCTCATTCTTTTTACTGACGTCAACTAACACAGGGCGTGAGCTACTGCTCCGCATCGGTGGAATCATCGGTGAGTTAGGTTTTCATACTGAGTGCTCGGTAGTACAGGGTGAAAATGGCTTGAGGGAAAGACAATGGCTTGTCGAGGATTCTTTCACGCTCTCCACGCGGATGCTCACTCTCGCCAGCTGCGAGCCGTCTGTGCTCTCCGCGCATTCATTCACTCTCGACACTACTCGCACGGTAGAGAGCCATGGTCGAGGAATTCCTCGACCGTTATTCACCCTGCCGTAGTATTCTCGACGTTCTCTGACGTCAAGAATACTGTGCGCGGTGGATCGAGTAGCTAACGAATCAAAAGCTTCAGACTATCTCCAGGCCTCTGAAGAAGACGAAGCTGTCGAAACGTCAGGCCAGTAAATAAAGATTCCATCTTAAAAACCTCGTTTGGCATACAGTACAAAAACAATTGCAGTAAATTAACATCAAATGCCGAGGTTCCAAGAAAGGACGACATGGAGAATATCTACAGCCTTTTGCAAATGGGCCGAGTCAGAATCAGAGTCAATGACCTTGTAAACTTTAAGGTCGTCAGCAAAAATCTTACATTCTACTCCCACAGAAGTGATTAGGAACTAAGTTCAAAGGTAAATATATTGAATAGCAAGGGAGATAGGACTCCGCCTTGCGGGACGCCGCTAGTGACCTCCATACTTGCCGACAATGAATTATTCACTCGAACTTGGAAGGTACGATTAGTAAGAAAATTACGCAACCATTGAAGCAGAATACCATGGATACCAACACATTCGAGCTTATAAAAAAGTTTACTGTGGGGAACTTTATCGAAAGCTTTCATAAAATCAAAATACACACATGAACTTCTTTTTTTGCATCAATCCCCAATGTCCAATCGTTGAGGGCTTCTAGCATTTGGCTCACTGTGGATTTATATTTAACAAAGCCGTGTTGATTTGCTGATTACACGATGTTTTTCAAGATGATTTGCAACTCTTTTCTTGATAATCTTCTCAAACAACCTAGCAATGACCGACGTGATACTAATTGGCCTGTAGTTAGCCGCTAAGTCATAGGGTTTTTTTGGTATGGGGATAACGTGCGAATGCTTCCAAATGAGTGGTACTTCACCCTTAATAAGGGAGAGGTTCATGATAAACAGGGTGGTCCAAAATTATGAGGACCGCGTGCGCGCGCGGTCATATCCACTTTTTTCCGAGTCGCTCCATTTTCATCTCCTTTTCTGTGCACTATGTGAAGGGTACAATGTCTTCTTCCTAATGAAACCAAATTTCATGCAGTTCTCAAAACTAGTGAAATAACTACATCACCTTACGTCAGTCCTCAAATTGAACTCACTAGGGGCTCTGGCACGTTACATCTAGCGGCAGTCTAACCTATCAGGGAAGCTCTTATGAGCAACAGTTCAACTCTTCAATAAGTTTGGAACCACCACAGATGGAAAATTCGGGGACTCGAAAGTTACAGTTACCACCAGGATAACAGTTACCACCACGATAACAGTTACCACCAGGATAATTATCAGATGCAGAAACCAGTAGGGACGGTAGTAATCTACCCCAAACTAGTGTTAAGGAAAGCCATTCTATGCCCGTAACCGGCAATGGAACGTTGTTGGAGTTGGAAGTTAACACGCAGCTTCGCGACATCGCAAGCAAAACATCCTTTCTCCACGAACCCGTACCAGCGCCGTGCGTGTATGAATTGCTATCGTTGCCACTGCACCACGGAGTAGTACCACCACATATGAAGAGTTGCCTATAACAGTGGGACGGCTCACGCTGTTTGCAAAAATCGGATGCCGTGCGGTATCGATCCGCCTACCTTGCCAGCGCGGCGTAGAGGCATGGCAGTGCGCCATGGAGCTCCCAACCACATCATGAAAGAACACTCTCTGCAAACCTGGGACCAGGGTCAACCCTGTGTTGCGCAAATTCCCAAGCTTAACGAACCCCTCCCTCGCGAAGAGAACTTCAAAAAATGTAAAAATTTCTCTGAAAACCTTTCTTCTGCCCTAATTTCCTAAGGGGTCTCTAGAACTCAATTCAGCAAATTCGCTACACTTTGTTTCGCTTAGATTTTATTTGAAAAAGCATCAAAACTCTCTTTGGAAGTTTGTCTGCTTACGGCCGCTGACAGAGGCGTTTTTATGGGAAAACGCCTGCTCGGGTATACGCCGTGCACCTGTCTGTGGACAGAAGTCGCACTCGCATTTGAAAGTCCTCCATTTTCCTGAAGAAGGTGTTAGTATCGTGATTGAGTTGCATTGTACTGTTATATGGTACTCTTGTTTCACTTCCCCATGAACTGCTCTACACTTTGTTCTCCTTGGGATTTCAGGAATGTTCGATCATCGAAGACAGACCATGTTTTTGCACTACGCTGTAACAAAGTTTATTGATGCAAATTATGTACAGCAACAGTGAAGCTTTCGGCATGATTATCTGACATTGGCCGGTCTCTAAAGATCTCGCCCACATGCTCAAACAACAAAATCAATACGATATTGAAATGCAATCCTATAGTAATGGGAGAAAAAACTGACAATGGGGTTAGCCAAAATAATCATGATCGTAACGGTTGTGCATCTTTTATAACGCCGCTTCGAGAAGGCTTCGGTTGAAAAGTGGTAACACGAGAGAAACTGAGTAAATACAAATGGAAATGGCCACATTCGGATATATCGGTGTAACAATAACAGTTTCCGAACCACCATCAACATCGTTCGGATCATTCCAATACGGGGATCTGAGGTTCTGCCAAAACCCCTCTGTTCAAATCCGTTCATTTGTAACCGATGCCGGACATATCGACCGGATAGGGGACCTGAGAAAATAAGTACATTCACCTAGATTCGTAAACAAAAAAGAAGAGAAAGTGAATTCCATCATTTATTCCGCGTTGCAGGAGTAGAACATAAATTTAGGCGTCTAATCACTTCATTATATGAACCACAACTGGTGTGTGTGTGAGAGGAGAAAGGGAGGGAGGATATGGTGCCGCCGCGGCAGCCAGAAGAGCAAGAGGGGAAGGTAGAGTGGGAGTGGGGTTGAGGAGAGGATGTAGGGGAGGAGAACAACAGCTTCTATCTCATTCTATTATCTACTATACACACGTGGAAGGACCACAGCGGAAGACGTGAAGCTTAGGCAGGGAAGCAACGTCCCGGCGGTTGACGGGGGACCAATCTGGTATCAAAGAAACCAGCATCTATGGTCTTTCAGACCGAAACTAATTAGGAGAGCCCTAAGAGCTTCTTTTCTATTACTTCTTAACAGTTTGAAAAAAGCAAACAAAAAACCAATGCCTTAACTAACTAACCACAAAAACAAAGTTCACTACTCTTCAAAATGTATTTGAATACGGTGATCTAGCAAAAAGCTTTTATTTGTCATTACCTCACTACTAGTGCGCGCCATATGTATAAGCAACTTTGCGCACTGATGTGCTGAACCTTACCATCTCTATCTTCTCGCTCACTTCATTCTCTCAAACTTAAGGTCAAATACTATTCAAAACTTAAGGAAGAGATGAAAATTGAACTAATCAATACATAACTGACAGCCCTTGGGCGGGTACATGTCCTTTCCAAAATGAACGGTGTCCTCTTCCGGCGTGATTAATCGCACTAATTGAGAACACCCTAAAATGTCCAATAATTTATTTAATATTTAATAATGATATTTGTATGAATAATACCAAAAAAACACGACACAAAAGGGCAAAATGATTACGCACCTTATATTTGCCCGAGTTCTGGCCTCTTATACGTTCTTCTTGATGTTGAAAGCGTATTTCAACACATTTCCTCGCATGAGTCTCCTTGTTCGCATTCTGTTCACCCAAGCAGAATTCTTGAACATGCTGGACAGTCTTTATAGAACGTTACAGGGTGGTACACACATTGTAGGTCAAGACTTCGCTGTCCGCTACTGGGTCACATCCAGAGGATCGTTTTTGAAAAGACTTCATTCTAGATTTCTTGAACTCTTCTAGTACATGCTTCCTCTATATGAGTCAATTCACACACTGCGCTATACCCTACGCGCAAAACGTTTGAAAAATGGGTTTGAAGGCTTGGAGCGTTTTGGCAAATATGGGTGTGATCTTCGGAGACGAAGGAACATTGTGCGAGCCAGGTGGAGGCCGAACATACAAAGAAGCGCATGAAACACCTTAACTGTGATACATAGAAAAGTACAGTACAGTGAAAGATATCAGATGAAAGGTGTATACGGGCCTTCACCTAGCGGTGTTACGGTGTATCACAAGAGACTTTGTCTATATACACTTTATTTACATGGATATAATAAGATAACAAGGGACAAGGATATAGGTGAGGAGATAAGATGTAGAGGTGAGGTGAGTCGGCCTCACGCCGACGGCCTAGCTGTCGCTGGAAGCTGGGGGCAGCTTAAATACCTCCAGCTTAGGTTGCGAAATCCATGATGACGACTCTTAGCTGATTGATGGCCTCCGGCACCATCCGGCACGATGACGAGGCCTCCGGCTCGATAACGGGGACACGACATCTCCATTCCTTACAGTAAGCTCGTCCTCGAGCTTCAAGTTCCTTCCAGTGGTTTGCGATCCTTTAGAGAATCTCTTGTGATAGACTGAAGTAAGATTCATACTGGATCTTGTGATGATATAGCAAACGTGAAGAACGCTGGTGAGTTCAGAGAGTCTTACAATGATATAAGGGTACATTGGCTACGTCTTTCACTCACTACAGCTCTGACTCGTTGGAAGGTGGAAGTGTTGTGTAAGGAGTTCTGGTGCTTGGTGTGCGGTACACTCCCTCTCTTGGAGAAGGAAGCTCGTCCTCGAGCTAAGATTGTCATAAGGAAGATAACGTAACCTTCCAAGTTGATGTGGTGTGTTATGGTATGGGGACAAGAATATCCATGTGTAGAATGAGAACAGCGTTATGTGACGCTATGCTACGAGTTATTCTTATACAAAAATGGAAATTCTACGCACGTTATGCATTGTCTACGAACAGCGAATGTCTAAAATCTACGAGTTAAAACAATCTGCTATATTTGCATGAGGTTAAATGCGTGTATATATAGGCACTTATATTTCACAGGCATATGCATAAAAAAAAGGAAACAGTCAGGAGTCAGAATAGTAGTTAGTCAGCTAACAATAAAAGGGCTGATATATATTATTATGATGTATGTTTTTTGTGTTATGTAAACACAATAACTATGGCATAAGTAGAAAATGTAGCAACGATTATTATGCGATACGAATACTAGTCTATCTAGCGGCACACTTTGGCGGTCGACTAGTATAAGGGCGTGTTGGAGTGTTACAATTTTAATTTGGGCAGAAGAACGCTGCCTTAGAATTCTTTGGTTGTCTATTCTAAAGCCGACGCGAACGTCGTATTACAGGTTGTTCCATATCTTTTAATGTTTCCGTAGTTGTTGGCAAAAGTGATGGTGGTTGGTTTGGTGTGGAAACATTAACCGATAAGGAACGAGGAGAATACAGCTTTAACGGTTAATGTGCACGACTTGTCGCGACGAGCGACCCACAAGGTTAGTGATGGTTATATTAGGACGTTCAATGTCCACAATCACAAAAGGGCCTTTCCATTGGTTCGTTAATTTAGGACGGACTGTGTCGTCGTGCAAAAGTACTAGGTCACCAATGGAAATGTCCTTAGGGTATACCTTATTTGAAGGTCATATCCTAGCTTGTAGAGTGCCGATTTTTTCGCGATCTCGTTGCCGACTGTCATGATTGTTTCTTTTAGGCCCACGGCGAATTGGTCAGCGTAGTCATCCGACGCGAACACGAGACGAGAGGGAAGTTCGTGAAGGACATCACTCCATGTAATTGGGCATCGTCCATGGACAACGAAGAAGGGGCTGTATCCTGTAGTGGTGTTTGTACTACAGTTGTAGGCAAAGACAATAGGTTGTAAGAAGTCCGACCAGAGATCTCTCGCTTCTGAACAATATGCCGTTAGAGAGTCTGTGATTACTTTGACTAATCTCTCGGCTTGCCCATTGGCTTTATGATTATAGCTAGTCGTAAATCTATTGGTTATGCCAAGTGATTTGTTAATTTTCGAGAAGATCTCGCTAGTATAATTCGAACCACGGTCTGAAACGATTTCCGTAGGAATCCCGTGTTTCGAAATAACGTCATTGAAATTTTAATTACTGATTCTGAGGTTTGATCAACTAACGGACTACAAATTACAAACTTACTAAAAGCACATACCGTTATAGATATAAACTTACTTCCGTCTATGCATTGTGGCAACGGCCCTATGATGTCCGTGTGGATTCTCTCGAACGGTCTCTGTGGTGTTGGAAAGGTTCCCATTTGTTCGCGTATTATATGTGGTGATGGTGTTTTCACCTTTTGACATATGGGACATGTGTTGATGTATGTTGTTACATCCTGATATAGGTTTGGCCAAAAATACTTCTCCTTAATTGTTTTATATGTTTTATGTATTCCTAAATGAGATCCTAAGAGTGGGTTATCGTGAAATATTGCAATTATGTTGGATTGCATTTCTGGATCTGGAATAAGAAGTATTGTTTTGTCATGTATGTTGTAATATAAGGAGTTGTTATAAATGGAGTATTGGTGTAACTTGTCTCAAATTCTCGAGGAGGGTGGTCTAGTTCTTTCTGAAGGAACTTGAGAAGTGGACCATATCGAGAGTTTCTTTGGCTTTCCTGGATCTCCTCCAGAGAAGGAAAGGATTGCGGTATTATAGCATTGATGCGTGGCAACGGATAGCGGCTCAAAAAATCACAAAACGTGTTATGTTTGCCGGCTCGGTATTCGATCGTGATGTCGTAAGCTTGTATAGTATTTGGTACTTAGCTAGTCTACCAACCAAATCTGTATATCCTATCTGTGCATTAGTGATTTGAGTGGGGCATGGTCCGTGACTAGCGTAATGCGCGCATTTGCAACATATGGATAGAATTGTTTCGGCGCGAACACTATTGCTAGTGCTTCCAGTTAAATGACAGCATAATTTTTACTGATGCTTGTTCAGAGAACAAGCATCAGTAAAATGTGATGCGATCGGATGCTCTCCTTGCGATTTTGGACTAATCTGTAACAAGCACGCGCCTAGCCCAATTGTAGACGCATCAGTGTGCACTATGTATGGCTGTCCAAAAGTGGGGGAGACGAGGAGGGGTGCTTCTATGAGGGCTGCTTCAAAGAAAGAAATGCTTGTTCATGGGAATCTGTCCAGATGAGCGGGGTATCTTTCATTGACAGATTGTGAAGCGGAGTAGCGGTTATGGAGAAGCGCGGTAGGAAGCGGCGAAAATACGAAGCAGCTCTAGAAAAGATTTGATTGCTTTAACATTTGTAGGGCTGGGTAGTTCTGCGATGCTTGCCACCTTGTCGGGGTTGGGACGAGTGCCATTTTTACTAATAAGGACTCCTAGGTATTTCACTTCGGTTTGGAAGAATGAGCATTTTTCCGGAGTGAGCTTCATTCCAAACGCTCTTATGCGTTTAAATACTTCTTCAAGGTCGGTCATATGTTGGCTTACGGATTGACTTGCAATTATGATATCGTCAATGTATGCAAAACAACACCACCGTAACTCACGTATATTAGACTATTGGCTACTCGTTGAAAAGTGCCCGGGCACCTTTCAGTCCTTGTGCCAATAACTGTGAAATGGTACAGTCCTAAAAAGGAAGAGAACGCGGTGCGCTCTTTATGGTCTCCTGCTAAAGGTATCTGAAAGAAACCGCTTTTGAAATCAAGTACTGTATAAATCTCTTTACCACTGACAAGATCCAGAATGTCTTGCATGTGGGAATACAGTAGGTTTCAGTTTCAGTGATTGCGTTGATCTGACGGTAATCTACCGTAAATCGCCATTGGTCTTTATTCGGACCTTTCTTAACCAGAACTATTGGCGATGCAAACTTACTAGTGCTTGGCTCGATAATGTTGATGCGTAGCATTTCCTTGATTTGGCGTTCGATTTCCTGTCGCTTTTCTAGAGGAACGCGGTATGACCGCTGCTTGGGAACCTTTGAATGTGGTACAAAGTTAATACAATGAGTGATAGGTCCTTGATAGCGTCCGAGATCGCCATCGTTTCCTACGAAGCAGTCCTGATATCTTGCTAGTAACTGCTGAAAATTTTTGAGTTGTGTGGTTTTTAGTAATGAGGAGTTAAGAAGAACGCGATCTGAAATAGGTATTGGGTTTTCTATGCTGGGAAAATGGGGAAGTTCCTTAGCAAAATCAGTTTCTGAAGGGGATATACTCATCCATAGGTTGGATGGACTTGGTGGCTGGACTCATTGTTAGTGTACATTGAAAATATTGGTTTCCATTGCATATTTACTCCTACGAAACTTGCCACTGCTACTGTAATGTTCTTTTGTAGAGTGATGGGGGTGGGGCCTGCGTTAAAAATGCGTATTACAACTCTGCCTTGGGCGTTTGGACAGGAGAGTGTTTTGCCAATTTGGATGCCCAAAGGAAGTGTTTGATTCGGATTGTCCGAAGTAAAGAGCTCCCAATTTTGCGGAAATGAGGTATTTGTTGTGCCAAAGACCGCGGTATCCGAAAATGGTGGCTTGATGGTGGAATTGACGATATTCTCATCTATCTCTCGTTTCTTGCATTATATTGAAACACGGGAACGATAAACAATTCTGTATTTTTAGTAATCTCCTTGAAAATAACTCTGCAATAATTCACATCAGAGATATTCGGGACACTGTGATGGTGGCTCAACCTCGAACAGCCGCAGTGCTTGATGGGAACAAATCACTATTAACTAGAGAGTAAACAATTGCACTACTTCATATAGCGTTAACTCTAGTCATATGGATAACCGTCCACGCATTTAATCGTATTCCACATTGTAAAGTCGTATATAAAATAACGCGAGTTGGGCTGTGAAAAGGAACGACAGAGAATATGAAAAACAAGGAAATAATGAAGAAAGAAGAGAGACTAAGAAAAAGGACAGCAGGAAAGATCAGCTGGCGAAAAATGCTGCCGCAGTGATTGCTGGCAATGCCACAGTTCTCTGGCATGGAAATATCAGGTTCGAAAACTCGTCCGGTTGCACCTCCCCTTGAAGGCTAGGCGAGATGTTACTGGAAGAGTGGAGGTTCCTGTTTAGGCTTCATCGCGGGTTTTTTTTTCGCTGTTTCTTCCATTTCCATTGCATATTTACTCCTGCGAAACTTGCCACTGCTTCCGAAAATGGTGGTGGAGTACTTTCGTTAATCAAATAGACAGGAAGTTTTTGAAAATTATAGTTATTGTCGCTTATGGTTATGAACGGGATGGAATTGTAGTCGAATGAGATGGTGTTAGTTTGTAGTTTGTAAGCAAGTTGGGGAAGGACTGCCGATGATGAATGCGGAGGAGCAATGGGAATCTGCAGCGACATAGCATACTATTGGTATGGTTTGATCGCCTACAGTTAGGTTCGGAGTAAATTGGCGGAGAAGACTGATCGGAGTTCCATTCGCTGGTGTACCTTTAGCGATTGTACACCGGACAAGAGTGGCCTGGATTTTTCAAGAGACGGTTTCAGAGACAAGTGTGATGGCGGATCCAGTGCTGAGGAGAGCTATGACGTGTGAATCGTTGAGACTTGTTGAAATATACATAAGAGGGCTTGCGTTTGTATTATGTATGCAAGAGACTCTTGCGACGAAATTTAGAAGTGGTCTAGTCCTTGCATCTGGTACTGGTTGTGGTGGTCTTGTGTTGAGTGCAATGTTCGCAAATGATGGCATAGTGACTACAGTGCGTTGGTCACTTGATTGACGGAATCTCCTTGCGAATGCACGAACGCGGTCAGTATGTTGAGCTGGAGGATCATCGTCTGAAATCACGACTCGTGGAGGAGGATCTCTTTTGCAAGTGTTTTTTACAACGAATAAGACTGCTGCAGTGATTGCTTTGAAGTGTTAAATTCAAAAGTACACGGACCAAAGACGATTGGAAGTAGAGAATTGTTACTATGATAAAGACCAGAAGGCAGAGTGACATGAGAACGATTGCTCTGACGAGCCTATGCAGACCAAAGGATTCGAGGATACCTTTTTCTGTGATTGAAGGAAATGTTCTGCATTAGATTCTAAAAATCCGGCTGAGTTTTTGACTTCGTTCTCAAGGTGCTCTGATAGTGATCCGAATTCTGTTGTGGAAGATTTGGTTTGCGTTGTGTATCCGTTACTGATGGAGTCGAGGTGGTTTCTAATAAGATGAATATCCGTCGAAATTTTTGCTGGATCCGAATGAAAAATTGGTGATGCATTGAAAATGAAATCCTGCTGCACTACGCCGTTAGGTAAGTTCAAGTGTATGTTGGTTACTTGAGTGTATCCTGCAGGTGACTGGTAGTGGTTGTTTCATCGTTATAGATACCAAATGGTAAGTGATCACAGTCTGCTTTCGAACTACTTGTTACGAGATCTCGTGAACCTGGCTGAGCGAAATAAAACGTTTTTCCTGTTCGGACAGGTGTGAAGATGTAACAAGTTCCTTCTATGTTATGATCGAAAATGATCTCGTCTATCATGATGTCTTTACATTTGGACACCATCAAGACGTCTCCTGCCGCCAAAGCAAATATATCTTTTCGATTAAGGAGTATGCGAGCCGCACTAGTTGGATTAATTTGAGCAATGCTCTTGATGGATTGAATCTTGAAATTTATCAACGAACAGATTCGATCTGATAGGAAATTGAAATCATCCTGTATGATATCTTCCATCTTTAGTTTCAAAAATTGCATCTTAGTATTGAGTTCTGCGTGACGATTCATCCTGACGCTGCTCGTGACTGAGATCTGGGTCATTGTTCATAGCGGTAAAGTCTGGTTCTGAGTTTACGGCAACATGATGAGCAATTTTCGCAGAGATAATAGGTTTACCTTTACTGAGGGCGTCCTCAGGTACCTCTAAAATTGAAGGCCTAGGGTTTTGCACCCTATTTGATAACGCTTTATAGTTATTTGGATTTATTTCGAGTTGTCGTCTTGGACAAGGTCGAATTCCAAATTTAAATCGCCTCATGTCCATAGATTTCTTATCCAAAGATTGGAAGAAATTCTGAATAGAGCTTAGTCCTTGAAGTGGTTTGGAAGAGGTTGTATTCACTGGAGTATCGGAATTACTACGCTTGAGCGTGGGTTGTTCTCCCACTGTATCCACTTTATTTCAAGAAGTCTGTGTTGCCTGGACAGGTGAATTTACGAAATGTACGATTTGCGAGTTGTAGAAATGTCTGCGATTGATAGTTTCTACTACCTCGGGGTGCTCTGAAAAGAGGGTGCGTGGATTATACTGGATAATCTCCTAAGACATGAGTACTCCATTGTCCATAGAAATCGCATGCTTTTCGAGACACCAAGCGCTCAATTTGGACGGCGAAAACGTTACGTTTTTATACGTGAATGCTGACTGAATATTGTTCAGTACTATATGATGAGGTGTTACATATGCAATTCCTTTGTCACTTTTGTGAAGCGGCAGAGTGGTGTCCGTTGCAGCACGGTTCCATATCACGGTGCCGTGTGGAAGAAAACATTGGTTTTTGCCAATGTTGCAATGGGCCATGTTTCCGAATTGGCCTATTAAGTGTTCTCCATCGAAAGTAGCTAGTTCGCCTTGTTCGAAATACACGTTTGTGGTAACGGTGCATTTTTCTCCGAAAAACCACGGATACGAATAATGTATCAGGTTCTCTAATACAAAAACGTTATGAGAAAGTGGTTCTAGAGGAGTTCCCATATACTATTCAGTTTTGGTCATTGCATTGCAAAGATTGGTTCGATAGGAGTCATAAACTCTTCATCGCTATTGACCGAGAAAGCAACGTGAAGATAAGAGGAAGCACATATTTTCCGAGTCTTGTTGAAACAATGAAATGCTGGTATCATGAGAAGCTCAGTTTGTTCAACGTAAAGGTTAGCCGAAGTGAGTAAGACATCAGAGGAATTTGGAGAGGTTGTGCATTGCAAAGGGTCAGGGTAGGCGATGGGCCATCTTGATTTCTCTGCTGCACAAAGTTGGTAATTGAGAGAATAAGTTGTTATCGGAGTTATGTAAAGGCTAATAATCGCAAAAATAAAAAGTGAAGTTAAAGGCTTCAGGAAGATACTGGAGTTACTTTTGGTTGATGTGTTAATTTGACGGCAATGTGGAGAATTCGCTCGTTTTGGAGTTTCTTTGGAAGGTTGTGTCCGTGACTGATTGTTAAATCTACGGTAATATGGTGTCTGGTCTCTTGGACGGCTTGATTGTGGATTGTAAGCAAACCTTACACCATCACGAGGTGGTGATTTAGAAAGTTGACAAAAATGATTCCGCTTTTGGTACCCGTTGGAGTTATTGTACCCGCCCAGTGGCGTGAAATTGGGGTCAGATGGACGATAAAAGTTCCAGGACCTGTTTGCGGTGGGAAATTTGTTGAACTGGTATGATGAAGGAGTTTTGGATTGGCGTTGATATGATTGGTAGGGTGTTTTAAATTCTCTTGGAGAAGATAACTTGTCTAAAACCTTATCCATTTTAGCTATAAGTACACCTTCTCCAATGGAATGGCGTCATTTCTAGTTAGGTTCCACATCCTTTCAGCATCTTGTACCAGTTTGTCATAGTTGGCGGGTAAGGGTCCTAAAAGCTTCAGTCTCTGCTTGACTGAGTTGGATAAAGCATTCGTAAATACCATGTTTGGAGAAACTTGCGCTCTTCTATCATTTTGATATTGGGATATGCGTCCAGGATTCTCTTTGCGAACCCTGTTGGAAAAAACTACAGGGAGATTCCCCTGAGTCCATGCGCATATTCATTAACTTTTCCCTAGCCATGTCTAAGAAATGGTCTGTGGAGAAATGCTGTTGCAGTTTGGTGGTTGCTAGACGCCAATTGCGTTTCTCTGCGGCAGGAAAGTTTATGAAAACTGCCTTTGCAGTCCCTTTTAAATGAGCAGGGAGAAGGAAAACCATTTTATTTTCCGTTAGTCCCATTATATTCCCTATTTCGTTGAATTTGTCAAGGAAATTCGTAAAACCTCCTGCCCGTCTTTCACCTGAAAATGTTGGAAGCTTGTTGGCATATGATGCCAGGCAAAGTTTGTCGAAGGCCGTATCTAAACGGTCAGTAATGTCGTCCTGATGCATGTCGATATCCGGCTGGTGTGCCGCCATTGGTGCTTGGGGGTAGTATGTCAGTAGTGGGCGCGGTATCGCAGGGATGTGGATCGCTGTCTTCTAATGAGGGATTGAAGAGGAAGAACTGTAATTTCCTGAAAGAGGGTTGAGCTAAATTTTTGGGGGTACGGACTTTGATCTGTTGTGCCTTGGTATGGGTTCTGGGTAGTTATGAAATAGGGGTGGTAGAGAAGAAAATCTGAATCGGGTAACTCTTACCTTTTCTTGCTGGGAGAGTTGGGGAGATGAACTCTGGTTCCCCGTTTTACAGTTTGTATACATGGTGCAGTGACTCTATAAGGTCGTCCGTCCGAACTGTTAGTGAATCGGAGTAGATGTTGCTCATAGAATTGTTATTGGGTACTTCGTGGGATTTTAGTGATAGGGGAGGTGAATATATATATTTTTCGTTGCAGAACTAGATTATATAAGTTTTTATCAGAAGGAAATTTGTACCTGATATTCCTCCCAGTTCCTGGTTGCTATCGCTTT